ACTACTACTACTACTACTACTACTACTACTGGTATTGCTTACTACTACAATAACAATACCATTTGTAAATTATTAATATTATCAGTTATTATTGATATCGTTATCATTACTAATGTCGTTATTATTACTGATATCGTTACCGTAATTGGTATTGTTATCACTATTATAGTTGTTATCACTATTATTTATTATTATTATTATTATTATTATTATTATCATTATTATTATTATTATTATTATTATTATCTGTTATAATAAACATTAAAAAGAAAAGAAAGAAAAATTTTAATTTTCATCGTATATATACAATAAAGAGATTGATGTATCCAATTGTCAACCTAGGAATATATGCCTCCTTGATCTCCGAATATATTTGTTTATGGTTATGAATAGTTATTTGTATTTTAAATGAAGATATTTATGAATTTATTCTTCTTCCACTACTACTGCTGTTACTGTTATTATTATCACTGCTTATGCTGCTATATATTCCTTGTTTTTTTTAAATTCATTTTTTACATTTAAAATCATGATAATTTCCTCATCACTAACAAATTATATTACATTTCATATTTCTCCACTGATTTTTCTTTTTCTTCTATTTTTTTTCCTACTTTCCCTTTTTGAAAATTTCATTTCTTCTCTTTCTTTATTTTTAATTTTTTTAAAAATTATCCTTATACAATTAGTTAAATTAATTAACAACTTGAGTTTTCTTATATTTTTCGTCTGTTTCACTTCATTATTGTTATATTCTTATCATTCTTGTTTTCCATTACAAAATTATCGTTTAAAAATTTTGATAAAATTCTTATCTGTGCTGAGTATTGCATGAATTTTCTTAGATTTTCAATTTATTGGACTTAAATAATTTAAATATTTTTGTACTGCTGCATGAAATAACCTCTATAAGACAAAACCTCACAAGCTATTTAAATCACATAGCAAATTAATTGTTACAATTGACTTCATGGACGGCAGTTTTTCTTTTTTTTTAAATACCGATAAATTGAAATTTCACTTTCTCATCTTGAAATCACGAAAAATAGACTGAATTTCTCATTTCCGTATGAATTGCTCAGGTCGCAATTCATCCATTCGTGCGATTAGACATCATATTCATCCTGTTGAGATGTGTCGAGTAGTTTAGTTATCAAAACAATTTATGCAAACAAAACAATTTATGAGATTTCCAGAAAATGAAAACAGTATCAGCCAACAAATTACTTCATTCAATTTATTGATATTATTAATATTATATTAATTTTACATTTCATTTGATTATTTTTTTTTTAAGTTTTAACTTAGCTTCTTTTATTACTAAAATAAATTTTCGATAAATTTTCATCAGATTTCTTTTTCTCACATAAATGCCAAATACCAATTGATATTTTTTCATTCACAAATCAACAGCTTTTTTTTTTTTTTTTAATCATATTAGATTAAACGAAATTATCGTTGCAATGTATGATGATTGTAATTGCACTGAATGTGGGTATAATTACATCGAAAGATTTCGAATGATTCCTTATATTTATTCATACCATTATATCCGGAATATTCTAATACAAACAAATTTCGTATCAAATTAAGTTTTAACTTAACAGATAGCATTTTATGATCTCTAATCACTTATTTCGCTCTTCCACTACCTCTTATTATTCAATTTTTATCTTCTTCCTTAAAAAAAAAAGAAAACAAATATCCTGATTTTTCAAAACCGGTCTTTCTAAACATTGCAACAGTTAAACTTCTTTTTTTTTTTCTGTCCAACCACATTTACTTGAAGAACTTTTGGAATATCATGTCTTCTTTTCCGGCTCATCAAGCAAATTTTTCGAGTTGAAATACTTCAAAGAAACAAAAAAAAAAAAAAAAAAAATCAGAAAATGAAAAAATATAATTATCGAATATATCCTTCACTAATCTATCAAAATAAATAAATGATACCACATATTAAAAAATGAAAAAACAATAACCACACTATCAAATTTAATGTTAGCACTGTTAATTACTCCGCTTACTGCTAATTTCAATTAATGACAAAACTTTACCAACACTTGTAACATTATCAGCTTTATTTATCAACTTTTCTTACTTTATTTCTAATATCTACCAGTTTTTGACAAGGAATAAAATGAAATTTAATGAAAATGAGCAAATCTTTCCCACCATTTAAAAATACATTTCTTGACAGAAAATTTAGTTTAATAAAATGTGCCAATTTCCTTTTCATGCCATTTTCTCCAACATATATATATTGTAGAAAAGTAAAATGGTTATAAGTCCATTAGTAGCATTTAAAAGTAAGACGATTTACTTATTGCGTCACCGACAAGTTAATTTCTTGTTAACTAAGTTGTAAGCAATAAAATAATTTCATTTCAAATAGTACTTTTTTTTCTTAAAGGTTTATAGTATTAGTCACTCTCATTTCTCTTCATTTAAAAAAATTGCTACAGAAACGATCTGATTTTATCTATCTCTCCAAATCTCATACATTAATAATTATTGAACCAATCTGTTACACGGAAACTTTCATCCGTTTATTTATAAACTTATTTCAAATAGTATTACAATGATAATTATCCAGTGAATCAAGTTTGATTGCTTAGAAACTTTTTTGCTTACTACTTTTGAAAAAATTATCAATTAGACATGAAATAATTTAATATTAGCATAAGGATTATTAAGAGAAATGGTGAGACTACAAAAAACAAAAAACTTAACAAAAGAAAACGAACCCGATAATTTAAGAAATCAGTGATAATTCAAATTTCAATTCATGTGCTATCATTTATTTCTATTTTGAAGTTTCATCAAATATTTTTTCATTACAAACATCAGATAAATGTTAGCAGACTAAAAGATCATCCAAAAATTCATTGATATTTACATTACTACTAATACATTAATTCTGTTAAAATATCAACTCATTGTTCATGATAATGTTCATTTGATGACATTTGTAATGATGCAGTGAGCAAAATTAGTTCATGATAGGAGAGAGACAGAAAGAGAAAGGGAAAGAAAAAAACAATAAGAGCAGTTTGATAACAGATCGTTTTAATGATTGACGCACTTAACGAACTATGGTATTTTCCTTTTGATGACTGATGAGATTACTTAAAAATGCAAACTGTATAGTGTAGTGTCGCTTGACAAAACACTACGCGAAACCTTCAGACTGGAAAAACAGGTTACTACGGAAATTCCGATTGTCTCATCTGATGACATTCCATGGCCATCCGCAATGATGCATTTCGGAAAGCGACCACAACTAAAATAATGATCGAAATGTATACTGGAATCTATGAAGATATCATTTTTATAATTATAGGTTCTAGTTTAAACTATGTGGATTTCAGCATTTCTTCTATTCATTTCATAAGTTAGATCAGTCATCCTTAATTCTAAACTCCAATCTTAATCTTTTTCAAAGTTAAAACAGACCCAACAGCAAATTTTGCTAACTGGTTCAATCACTTTAGTCAAAACTTTATCTTCAACATAAAACTAGGAAAATTTTGGAATTATTTTGCATCCTTGTCTTCTCATAAAACAAGAATTAAAAAAAAAAAAACTGTAAAATATTATCTTCTATCACCTACTAAAACTCCCCCGTACTTTTTCTCTCAAACTCCTCAAATATAAAAATTTTTCCTGATGAAATGTATAAATTGAAAGGACGAGCGAAAAATCTGCTTTATAAATTCTACAGAAATAAACAAACAATTGGCATTTTTTCATTTTGCTTTTTTAGACACGTTTACGAATATTACGACGAAGCTTGGCTGCATTACAATCATATAAAGCGCAAGAATATATATTATTCAAACAATTAAAATACAGCCATATGAAATCCAAATTTCAATTTAGCCCGATTCAATGATATCCATATGATGCAAAGTTCTAGTTATCCAAAGCAACAACAACAAATGAAAAAAAAAAGAGAAAATAAAATGAATGGGGTGTTCAAAACAATTTCTTGAAAACTTTTTCTTAGCTTTCAAAACTATCTAATGACTTCTTTTTTCTTTGCTTCTTGTAAGAAATACAAAAATCACACTAAGACTATCCTGAAAGCTCAAAATTAAGAGAAATGGAAAGGGAGTAATTGAATGAAACGAATAAATAAACAAAAATCATGGATTTTAATAACATGATAGCAATAATTGCTTTCAGCTATACTTTATCACATCCTTGTGAACAAAAGAAATTCGGAATGCCTACGTCTATCAATTTTGCCCATTTTTCCAACACTACCACCACTATGAGCACCACCCAACCAGTACTACCGCCACCAAACTATAACAGTCTTAATTTCCCGAATTTTCTGGAAATGCATTTATGGGTAAAAAAGTGGAACTGTGCAGTGTTTTTACCTTATTTATATGATTTACGATTGAATAAACTTCGTAATTTATACTACAAACCAGAAAAAGATTTTTCAATTCTAACCAATAATTGAGTCAGAGGAACGGGAAGGAAAAGGAAGGAAAAAAACAGATTGTGCGAGTAAGATACAATGCTGCAACAGCAAACTATGTTCTTACTTCGTTCGTAAAAAGATTTTCTTTTTTTTCAAATAAAAAATGGACTGGGAAAGCTTTGCACCATCTGACAACAAACGAATGTAATCAAAAATAAATAAAACTATTAAATAAGACTATATTAGCAACAGTGTGTATGACCTAACATTTGTTTAATGCAATGGAACATGTAACGAATGTAACTGCAATCTAAGAAAAGGGTTGAAAAGATTTATAAACACGGATTTTTGAATGTTTCATTTATACAAATAACTGAGACTTTCTTTAGCCAATAAATCAAATTCGTTGCCTTTGTCAGTTGTATTCAATATTAGAATTGCTATGATTGTTGTGTTAAGCTTATCGACATGACGTGTTCATTAATAATAATATCGTCCATATAGATATAAAAGAATAAAAAGCAATGATAAAGCAGTCCAATACAGTCCAGCATTACTATAAACTACCTTATTGAGGAGGTGTACTAAATGTTTCACGCAACTGACGTTCGATGTTGGAATTGAGTGACGGCGCGATCTCAGTGATAGCACTGGTTCTATGCATAATTGCTGCTACTGGTTGTCTTGATAAAATGCTTCCATAAAAATGACAATGATCTGAACTACTACTGCCCTGTTGCTGTTGCTGATTATAATAATGATGATGGCAATAGTAATGGCGATGTTGATCAACTGCATAATTGCTAATTTGCAAAGGGTAATGAATTGATCTTCGCGATAACGCTGCATCAACTGATGTGTGACGAGCAGATTCAACCAATGATGTTGCCGCACATGATCGTCGCGGCTGCAGTAAATGTAAAAGCGAATAAATGAATGATGGAATGAAAACAAAAACTATACTGGAAAAAAATGAGGAACATAAATATCTGGATTCAAAGATGATTACGAGTCTCATAACAAATACTACTAACAATAAAATAAACACATACAAGGGTATCTCTTAACGGTGCAAGATGTTGTCCAAGGAAACTGTGCTGTGGTGGACTACCGGGGAGAGATATCGATGAAGGAAGGGCCAATTGGGAAGTGACACGCGAACTGGTTAGAGGATGATGATATGGAATGTGGACAGGACCATGTAAGATACTTCCAGTACTATCGACGGAACGAGTCAAATAGCCACCAGTTGTTGTCGACAATGCATTTCCATTGCTTAGATTATGACGAAAACGTGAACGTGCTTGCTGTAGTTCACGGTTCTGTCGCTCGCGTAATAGTTCCATCTCAAGCTTGTGTCTTTAAAATGAACTGTTCACTTTTCGGTACAGATAAATAATATATAAAAATAATAACATAAAATAATGAAATAACAACAAACAAGAGTCAGTTAAAGGAAAAATCACACTGATATGTTCATATTCATGGTTGCAAAATAATCAAAATATGGCATAAGTTCTACAGTTAGCTCAATATCTGAAAGATAAAGATCTAAAGAAGAGAGCCAATTCACATAAAATGAATACCTTTGTAAAAGAGAACATATGGGATCATCCTCCTCATCGTTACCTTCCTCATCTAACTGAAAAAAAAATTTTTTTTAAATTAACAAAACCTAACATCCATGAAAAAAAAACTCTGTATTTTCATAATCTAAAAGAAAAATTCTTTATAAATAAAGAATTCTAACAGATATTACTTGCCATCCTCTGAACTAGAATTTTTTTTCACTGCCTAAAATACAGCTGAGATAGGGAGAACATAAAATTAAAGGCTTCCCATGCATAACCATTTAATTCGAACTTTAAAATCATAATTTTCATCCAGGGATTTTCATTATGAAAAACTTCTATTTATATTTGCCGCTTTTCTCAATAAGCATCAACTATATGGAGACATATGTAGTGAGGATATCATGCAGTAATATGAAATGAAAATATCATGCATGCATCTCTATAAATTGTAAATCTTACAATCTTGAATTACTAATGTAAACAATTCTATTCCAGCATTTTATTTAACCGACTCATTTGGAGAGATAGTAAGCTAAAAATAATTAAAGTGTCTCAATAAATAAAATATGTGAACCCCACTGTAAGAATATTTAAACAATAAACAGTAACTTATTTTCAGCGTGAATGTGCACCATCTGTTAGTAATGAAGTATGTGCCGCAGCAAGCAATCATGCAAATCCTGACAAAGCAAAAATTTGGATCCATGTACTTTAGAATGGATCACATAACATAATCAACGAAATCATAAGCTCTGTAAAGTAGAACTTTACTTTTAACATTCCCAGAAGAAGCTGTTGGATTCGATCATTTTCAGTGACCATTTCAACTATGCGCACTAGAGTCTGCAGTTAAGCATGTATCACAAGCAAGTAAAAAGCTGAAAAAAAAAAAACAAACAAACAAGCAAACACACACACAAGAGGTGAAAGCACTACAGTAACTATTTTAAAACGAACTTGGAAGTTATAAAAACAACACAAGGCGAAACAGTGCAGAAGTCCTAAGTGGCTTCAGAATTATTTTTGCTAAATTTCAGTGCAAAAGCTGCATTCAAAACTATTACCGCTTACGAGATATTTGTCGATGTTTTAATAGCTCTATTTATTTTAAAAACATTTATTTCGTAATATCAGAACTGTTTATAGCGCTAGATATCTTCTAAGAACAACAGTTGTTAGAAGATATGACCATTACCTAAAAGGGATACTTCTTAAAAAAAAAAAAAGCTTGGGATTACAATTTTTAATCCGTTTCGATTAATCTCCGATTCTTGAAATCACTTAAGGATAATTTTAGAAAAGTGAAAGAGTATTACCACTTATTCTACAATGAATTACGACAAAATATGCAAGAAAGATTTTTTCAGATCTAGCAAGCATTCGACACCTTTTACATAAATCGAAGAAAAAAGAATTGTAAAGTTTCTAGAGGAATAAACACCACAATAAGCAAAAAAACTTCCAGCCTTGCAGGGATTAACAAAGAAAGATTAGCGGTTAAAGACCCCTACGACTCGCACGTAAACTTTTTTTACCTAAATTTATTCAAAATTAATGAAAAATTGCTACTCCAGAAGCCACGCATCTACTTGTTTGGTGTTAGAGCATCTCTATAACTGTATTCATTTCAAATGGAATGATGTTTAATGATGCCACTATTTTTTGATTGAAGATAATATTTTCTGAGAAAAGATTCAATCATAAATTGTATCGTACGAGGTAAAATTTTCAATTAAAAAGTAAAAACAAGCCTAATATGACATATAACGATTTGAATTTCCCAATTTTGGAAAAATATGTTGAAAAATCTATCTCAGAGGCGCCTATAGTGAAACAATCTACAATAACGTTCGCTTTGAGCCATTTTTATCAAAGGTAATTAAAAATTAATGTCTCTCTTCTAAGTCTTTTAGGATCAAAAAAAATTTCCAAACTATAAAATTACTTCAGAACACCAGAAAGTAAATTGGTCGCGAGCCTAAATCCACAACAAATATAAGGGCATGAAAGTATCATCAGATATTCCCAAAGAAAAAAAGAAAAACAAGATAGAAAAGAAGCGCAAAACGACAGAATGAAATTATACATATACCATAAAAGCACACTGGTGCATTCTGCAAGCAGTTTTTATAAAAATAGATCAAGCAACTAAAATAGTTTCAGATATTCATTCTGACATAACAAACTGATAAATTATATGGATGGCTCATATGCAAAATATCTGAAATACACAGCCATACTGAAAGTGCAGGAAAATGCAAGATGTGCAGACACAACAATGCTTCACATAGCGATGATGATAGTAAGAAGTGAAGGTAGCTGAGTTGTTAAATCAATATTTATGAAAATGAAAAAGAGAAAAAACCTGAAAATCACAGTCGGAATTGTAAGACGTCGTTGGACTAAACATATGGTCGAACGGATCACGTGTACTGATCAGCTCTGTTTGACTAGCCGAATCACTGAAATGCGTTGGTGGTGGTGTACCAACATGAAATACCGCTCCTTTCGGTGCTGTCATTGAAGCAAGTTCACCAGTCGATCTTTTCGTTGTTTCACATACCCTAGACATCGTAATAGACGATTGCTGAGATGTATGGATTCCATCCATAGACGAAACCTGCGTCAATTCTGTTTGTTGAGTATCTGCATTTGCAGTATTATTGATACGGTAACTTGGATGGGTTGAATTAAAGATATATGGTACGGTTGGGCAACACCCATGTGTACCTAATGTTGTTGTTAGTGCTGTTTCCAAATTTTCAAATTTCGCTAATGGAGCTGAATTAGTTGTTGTACCACCACCATCTGATGTTGCCGTATTGGTATTGTTGTTCATTTGGGTAGCTACTGCGGAAACATTTAGTACTGCCTCATCGCTGTTTGGAACATTAGGTGATGTTACCCCAAGATGATTCCCATCTTCCAACTTTGCATTTCCTCCTCCTCCACCACCTTCTCCTTCACTGCTTATATTTCTCATATCTTCCAATGTATGCTTTGTTGTATCACTGGCAAGCACAGCTCTCTGTAGTAAAATGTATAAATTTGCACTAACAAGAAATATACATTTAAAAATTTTTAAGTTAATAAGCATCACAACGGAATAGAAAAAATGAATATGAATGAAACTGCTCGAAAAAGAAAAAAAAATGAACAATGAGTCTGTTCTCTATTTTAGAATTAATTCAGCTTCATGTCCAAGAAGAGATATATTTGGAATCCCTACTCTAAATGCAGGAAGAAAGTCTATTTATAGGGTATTCAAAAGATGCAACTAACAAGATTCAAGCAAAACTGTAATGGGGGCTGCAGCTATAAACCGATACTGCTGCCACCATTGTTAAACAGAAGCTTTTCTAGAAAAGCACATGAAGCAATTCGATCAAAAGAAAGAATGCTTAAAATATTACAATACTGCAAAGAAAAAAAATGGCTTCACTAGTTACATAATTAATCAAAAAAAAAAAAAAAAAAAACTGAAATGAAATGAATAGACCAAAACTTATTAGATATTTTTCACAATAAGCCCATTTCAAGCGCAAGTGAACAAATATGCAAAAAGGAAAGAAACAACATGCGCTTCCAGTTTTTCTCGACTCCAAAGTTTTGTTTAGAATGATAAAACGTTAATGTTTAATATTTTGTACACAACACATTAATTTATGCTTAGCGAATTCTACTTCATTCTAATTATATCTTCAATTTCCACACTCGATTGCTACCGATAAAGATATTTCACAAAAAATAAATACGATGCTATAATAATAAATACTAAAAATTCGCGAGGCATAACTTACCTTCTTCCTTTTCGCTTTAGAACCGGTACCCTTCGCTTTAGAACCGGCACCCTTCGCTTTAGAATTGGTACCCGCATGAAGTGTGTCCGTTACATTTGGTGATGGATGCTCAACAGGGAGTGATGTAACATGACTAGCAATATCAACACCTGATGGTGGTACAGAACCAGTTTCACGAGGTTCAACATGAATTACCTGAAAAGGAAAGGTAACTCATAGCAAAATGATCCATAAGCATTCATTAATTCAAATAATGGGAGAACAAATGATAACCTTCTGCAGAGCATCAGCAAGTTCATTGAGTGTATCGACGTGAAGAATCCCGGCTTCCGGAGTAGTGCTTGTTTTACCAGGTGTTATCGTTCCAGAAACAATATTTGGCAATGTTGCTGATACTAGTGGCACTGCCGAAGCACTAGGTAAATTAGGCGTGATTGCTGGAGACTGCTGTGTTTGTGTTAATGGTGCAAGAGTTTCACTGCTCTGATAAATAACTTCTTCCATTTGTTCGCCTTGCATTTTCTGACTTAACGCTACCAACTTATCATTTAGATCCGTCAAGTTATGCGTCAAATTGCTACAAACGGACGGCGTATGCGGCAAAGATGCACAGAATAATGAACCTAAAGAAAATGAAATAGCTTTATTTTTCAAATAACTGTCGACAACCAATCTATTAGGGCAGTTATCATTGCCCATTATATATAATAGAGGTAAGAACCCGTGCACGGCAAAAACATCGCCGAAAGGCGCAATCGAATCTTATCTACTTTCCGAATAAATTCTAGACGAATATTCAAAAAAGACAGGGTCTTTTTACCTCCAGAAACTGCAAAAACATCAGGTGGAGGAGCCGATCCTGAATTGGTCACGATAGGAATGTTGTTCGGTGGATTTACGCCGCTTACTTTACAAAGCTCACTTTCCAACTTCTCGAGCGTTGTACGTGATTCACCACGCGCCACATGATGTAGAACTGTTGCTGACGCGTTCACAGTTTGCGATGGATTAAATGACGGCGATGACGTACTATTATTAACTGCTATTACGATTGGTGGAGCATCCTTTACCTTCAAAATTAGGTATGTTTCAATCTTCAGTAATAAAATAATTGCTATGCTGATAAAACAAAACAATTTTCAAATTTAAAAGTAGTACTCCTATTAAAAAGTTGGTTCTACAACTAATACTTAACACAACATTAAACTACTTGACAAATGCCTACTTACTGCATAAAAGCATTATGAAGTACAAACAATTAGAGAAATATAAAAAGTTTCTTCGAATATTTGAAGAGTTCAAACAGTCCAGTTTTACAAACAGAGTTACAGCAATGGCCGGTTGTTGAATTGAAGAAATAATAGATGACCGGAAATCAAACTGAGAAGCACTGCATTGCAAAGTAAGCAGTTGACTAGCCTGAGGTTCGTTAATGAGACTATTATCCATATGACTGACTGTTGCCGCCGTGATTTGGCCAGTAGAAATAGTAGTAAATGGCACTATTTGTACCTAAAGCCAATAAAAGACACGAAAATATTACAGAGATGATGATAATCTACAGTTTTTCAGATCTACTTCGAATACTTTATATCTCTCTACTACAGATTTCACCTACCGTTTGACATACTTCAGTTGTTAATGCATAAGCTCATTTTTCCACCTTTTTTCTCTAAAATTAGCAGTGAACCAAAAAAATCGCTAACTGTTGTAGGTACCAACGACTTGGCTGATGAACATGACACAGAAGATATGGCAGGTAACACTTGATTAATTCCACCTGAACCTGCAGCTATCTGTAGCGATGTTATCATTGGAATGGAAGTCGACGCTGATGTTGCAGAAGACTGTGCCAACAAGATTGCACTATCAGTTAACTTCTGAAGACCAGATAAATGACAACTGAGACCACTGAAGAGTGTTTATTCAAAAACCATAACTCTAACAATCTTACTGAGGTAGAACATTACTACTAGTTCTAAAAAAAAAATACTGAAGTAAATCGAAGCTTATCTTTCAGATCTTAACCGTCATTTATTTCAAAGAATCTTAATAATTTTAACAGGATGAAAAAAATACTTTTTCATTCACCAAATATTAGAAGTATTATGATACTAAAAGTAATGCTTAACACTTACTGCTTGCTGTTGAAGATTGGAACTAAGAGACGGAAGAGCACTTGAGCTACTAATATCAACAGGCAAAGTTGATTTGGTAACCAGGAAACGTGATGTCTTGGTTGCGGTAATTGTTGCTGTTGTTACTGTTATTGCTACTGCTGTTGTTGACGCTGTTGTTGATGTTGTCACTGCTGTTGTTATTGCTAATGTTACTGGAGGAGTTAAAACAGAATTTGCAATACTAGGAGTTGTTGTTGTGATTGATGCAGCTGCATGTGAAATAACTGAAACTGGAGGTTGTTGCATTGCAGATGATGGAGACTGCGCCATTCCAGATGAACTTTGAAAAATAGAAGCATTTGAAATAACGAACGGTGTGGTAATGTCTGTCTGAAAAAAATCAAGTCTGATGTCTGCAAAGTAAAACATCATTACAGTCAGTGTATATATCTATCCTTCAATTTATCGTGTTGCATGATGATCACATAATATATTCATGATGGAATTCGATGTCAAACATAAGAAAATTTGAAAGAAAGCCATGATGGCCTTGAAAAGTTCCAGATAAAGGAATAAATCCTTCACCGATTGTGGGGCAGTAGAATTCATCGTTTGATCAAGCGACTGATTTTTCAGTGTCGAGAGAGGATGAACAGCCTGAAAATTCTGCACAGAAGATGTAGCTGTTAGGGCTGAGTTTGATTCCACTGAAACATCTGGAGAAGTAATGGTATTAGCCGTAATATTCGACTGGCTCACTGTCGTTTCGACACCTGCATTTGCTGATGCTAAATCCACAAAACTTATAATTTTAACACCAACTGCCTTTACTGGATCAGTAACAATCATCTGAAATGAATATTAACAGTAATAAGGAAGGGTTTTAATATCTGACTGCAACTGCAAATATCATAGTATTGAGAAAAGATATATATACTAGAAATGAAATCGATTATAACCTGGATAATTTTTTCAAGCTGATCCACAACAACTCCTACTTGCGGACTCGTTAAACAATCTTGATCTAACTGAAATAAACCAAAAAAATCTTTAAACTAGAAACATGGGTAGAAGGACGAGCACGAAACTCTTTGTCCTGTTTAGCGACTCAAAAATACAACCCAAAAATCACAGTTTGAAATTGATGAGCCGTGGGAAAAGCAATTTGCAGCATGAACGGATGGTGATGCTTTTTCACTGCCTTTATCGCTTTTTTTTTTGTACCTCCTTTTTTCCTCTGTCCCCTTTTTCTTTCCTTTTCAGCTTTTTTTTCTCTTTCGTTTAATCCCTTTTTTAATTCTATCTCTTTCATTAGAAACACACCGCACAAACAGTTCGAGGTAGTGAAATCTCAATCTAAAAATCCTACAGGATATGCAAAGGATGTGTCACCTAACATGCAAGGTTGCTAATTTTCCCACACAGAAACTCATTCTGGTTTCATATAGATAAGTTACGAGCTGATCTGTATTTTCTGGGTAAGACAAAGGATATACCAATTTCTTCGTAATCACGGATGGCTTATCAGAATCTGGTGCAAATTGAAACGTAACTGTCTTGTGCGATGTATCAAGACGGCAGCTGACCAGCTGGAATAATTTTGATGGAAAATTAAACTAAGAAATTTATCCTAATAAGTAGTATTTCATTAGTGAATAAATGGAAATATTCTTTTTGATGAAAAGGACTTCTTTCGCCACTCGTATGAGCTAGAGTAACAAAGCTTAAACAAATAAAGTTTCAGTAACACTAGAGTGGAATTCACAAACTTAAATATATTTCTAAGCTAGAGTTCGAAAAAATTCATTTAAAAAAGTTCATAAAAAAAGAACCGCTCACTGGCTGCTGATTGGTTTCATCCATGACAATTCGGAGCACTTCGATTACAACTTTTTTCTTTAATTTCTTATATTTCACGGGGCCATCATGATGATCATCACTTTCCGACGATGCACCGATTGGCTGCTGCTGTGGTACTTGTTGTGACTGCTGCTGCAACTGCTGCGGTTGTTGTTGTGACTGTTGCTGTTGTTCAAAAGCGGTAGCTGCCTCGCGTTCCTAAATGAAATGAAAATTCTGAACGTTGTTTTAAGATACGTTCATAATGTCAATGCATCTCCATCGTATTATTGAAACATAAAAGTCATGTATTTTGCTGCTATAAGATCAGCTAACGAACCACTCGATTATGTTAGGATGCATAATTATCAAACTGAGACAAATAATTGTTAAATGTTAACAAATAGTTTATCATTATTTGAAATGTCAGCTATACCCTCAAAATTTTAGTTTACCAAAAGCGCATTTCACATTTTTATACCAGTTATTTCAAGGCTCCTTCCCTTCCGAAAAATCTTTTCAACCGGTAACACCAGCAGCCAAATCTAATTTTTGCTGCAATAACGAAGGAAAATAACAGATGACAGCAAAAACCTTTGTGAAATCAACAATTTTAAAACACGGAAAATTTCTGAAATGAAACCTGAAAGTTGCTAAAGTAAAATGTTTTCAAAGTTATACTGCCTACCATACGCTCCTTCTCTCTGGCTCTTAGAAGCATTTCATTACGAATTGCTTCTTCCTCTTGTTTGCGTTGTTCCTCTTCCCGCATACGTTTCAGTTCCGCATGTCGGAATTCGCGATCACGCTTGAACGCTTCAACCTGAAATTTTAAAACTACTCATATTATGGCAGACACAAACTTTATGGCAACGGTATTTCAAGACCGTGAAAGATTAAATTTCCACACACAAAATAATCAATCAGACCTTATCCTTGATAAGTTTCGTAATCATGCGTGTATCTTCTTCAGGAATATGTTGCTGTTCAATCATTTGCTGTACTACTTCTTCCGCTTTATCAGTTTCAATGTCGAAAGCAAACTGCAACCCCTCATTTTCTTTAAAACGGTACTGCTTCCGCTTTTTTTCGTCAAACACTCTCAGCTGCATTTGAATCTAGAATATTTACAATCCCAGTGAAATAAATTAGGAACAGATTAATTCCACAACGTAATGTTAATATATAAGGTGGCATATCCTGAACATCATAAAATGTAAATTACTTCAGAATTAATATCACTAAGATCAGCATCTCGGTTCTTAATTTCAACTCGTATACCGATTAACTCTTCTGGCGTGAAGAAGTCATCTGACAACAATTGTTTCACAGTTGACCTGAAAAATACTACTTTGGTCGAGAGTGTAAAATAAAAGAACAACTACTTGAAAATTCAAGATAACTTTCTAAAAGAACTTATTTAAAAGAGAAAAAAATACTTTAAAAGTTTAATACCTTTCTTCACGACGAACCCGTATACAACGATCAATTATCTCCCGGATTTCAGGATACTGTTGGGGTATTCTGCTGAAGCATTCTGGCTTCACACCCTGCAGTAGAGCAAAGAGTCACTTCAAAAATCTAGCCACATAAAATGAACTCGGTATGAAAATTTATGGCAAGTGATTGAAATTAACACTTGCACTCTCAAATTAGGATTAAAATAAATATAGCATGCAAGTTCTGGTGCATACAGGAAAAACAATGCTAAAACAACGAAACAAAATGAAGATTACATCAAATCATGAGCAGAAAAACTTACTGTAGTAACTTTACGATAAATTTGAGCAGGAAATTGACACTCACTATATGGATATTCACCAGTAACCATTTCAAGTAAGCACATTCCAAACGCATACACATCGACGCTTTCATCATACATTTCTTCATACATTTCAGGTGCCATAAATTCTGGTGTTCCTGAAAACAGCCTCATCAAGACAAACATCAGTGATAATAAAGCTATCCTTCTAGTCAGAAGGATGATCAAGAATCAATAGAGATAGTACCTATTCTTAAGATTCAACGATAAAACCACTAATAATTTCATGAACAGTGATCAACTGTGGCAATAAAATGAAAAAAAAAAAAAAAAAAAAAATTTACCAATAACGCTTTTAGCGTAAGACTTATTTTTTAAAGTTGCCAATCCCAAATCACCAATTTTAACACTTCCCGTTGTGCCTGTGATAAAGATATTATCACATTTGAGATCTCTATGAATTACCGGTGGATTACGTGAGTGGAGAAAAGAAAGTCCCTTCAAAATTTGGCGACACCATGATTTCAGCACCTGAAAAAGTTAATTTGTTTCATTTGCAACCAAGATACTTACTCTTATTTTAGTTTCCCTAACATTTTTCAAAAAAAGTGAAAAACTTATCAAATACAGTCCTATAGCAATAACTACAAGGAATACGCTTGCTTCCCGATGATTATCGACTGACACATTTTTCTCTAACCTTTATATTTATTCGTTTGAATCGTTTCAGATACATTTTTAACGTCCCAGATGTCATCAACTCTGTCACCAATACAATATATCTAAATATCATCACTTACGCTAGCATACTGCTGTATATATAAAGCGAAGCGAAATACCAAAAAAAAAAAAAAAAAAAAAAAAAAAAAAAAGCAGTCTACGTGATGAATCAATGATACAGAATTTCTCTTCATCCTACAAATGAAATTCTTCATTTTTCATCTTACAGAATCCGCAACTTATAAATTTCATGCACTTATTTCTCGAGTTTATGCTAAAATCAAATGAGCAACATTACGCTCACTGCCTTGCAACATAATAAATTACAATTTATAAAAATAAATCATTTGTTACAGATTTGTTGTAAGCAGTCCGCAACTTATCCGTCACAAATGCAAAAACAAGCTCAACCGAAATATGTTAGAAACAGTAAGGATTACCTCTTTTTACCAGTATGATCTTGCCTTTCCCAATAATCATAGAAGCGTACAATATTGGGATGTTGTAGGCCTTTCAGCATTTCAGCTTCTTCCCGAAAACGCTGCCTTTCAGCCTAGATAAAACATCTTTTTGAAATTATACATAGTTTCTTGAGGCAAATTATCTTCTACAGTTATTTGGTTTAAAAAACAAGTTTGCAATAGTAGTAAAAGAACTGTAAAAGAGAAATCTAAAAAAAAACTGACAGAAGGCCGTCCCAGTATAAGCTTCGAAGTTAACGCCATAAAACCATGAACAAAACTAAAGCAAAGATGCGAAAAATCAACCAACCTTGCCTTCAACAGTTACCTAGAAATATTGCATTAACGCAAACAATGTTTTAACTGGCAAAAGAATTCATGGTGACTGAACATATATTATCTTACCTAGACAATGCATGCGAAGAAATCATACGACTATACGAAAGGATTAAAGTTTTAAAAAGATTTCTGATCAGTAAAAGTTATATAAAATAACCCACCAAAATTTAATGCAAAAATAATTTCAGAAGAACCAGGCAAAAGGAAACATCTGCCATGACTTGTTCCTTTCATTCTCCAGTCAAAAATATAAACTAACCTTGTTCAGCTTACTTTCTTGAAGTTCACACCATGCAACTGCAACTCCCGTTTCTGTATCCAAACCGCGGTAAACAGTTTTGAAAGATCCACGTCCTAGCTCTTCATCAAATTTCAAAAATCGTCCATCTAAACCAAACTTTGCCAAAAAATTTTCATGCAAGAGCAACTAAGGAATCAACTTTGACAAAACACGTATTTCCCCTACCAAACGTAAACGCCCTACACCTTAAAATTTCCACGTCAAGTTCATCCTAAACTGCGGACTACTACATTGAAGATAGCTCCTTCATAATCATCCATCTTAAAAAAATGCAAAACTGCAACATTTGCGAAAAAAAAACCAAAAATTCAGCATGGAAAATATCCACTTTTACCTGGAGATTTATCGATAGGCTTCTCCTCCTCCGCATCAGCATCATCATCCACAACCTCCCGCTGCTTCTCCTCTGCTCGAGCTAGCTATAAATTAATTTGAAATGTTGAAAACTGAAAAAATCGTAGAGCCATAAGACTGGTAGTGCAACAAAAACTAATTACAGGCAAAAATGATGTAAATCTTCGTGTGACAGCAACTATTCAGATGGTCAAACAGCTAGTAGTATAAATCGATAAGCAAAATATAAGAAATGGTACTGTCAGTAGTTTTATAATACAGCGTCATTTTCCTGAATTAAGAGAGATAAGGTCACAACAATTTATATACATACTTCATCTTTCTTCTCACTTTCATGTGATGGCAGAGGCGACGGAGTTTTTGAAATCACTGCAGTATTCTCCTCAATTTTCTCCTTTTCATCTTCCTCATTCACAGTTTCATGGATCTTTTTCTCACTTCCTTGAGAACTTGATTGTACTGTAAGTGATGAAACAGCTGGGACTCTATAACAATAACTTCATTTTCGTTTTGATAATACCACAGTAAAAACGAAAACAAGACAAAAATATTCTCCACTTGAACCCACAGTACCCATAAAATATTTATCAGATCTGATTGGAAATGTGGTGAATGTTCTTGATACTTCGTCTCACCATGTTCTGGGCGCCATTAATTTTACTTGCTACTGATGGAACAACACCCATTACAGCGTTTAACCATTTACTATTTAAAGATAAAAACCTCGAATTCTTTAATGATATGATATTTTTTGATATGATATGATATTATACATATGATACATTTTTTGAAAAAAAGTATATCATGAAACCTGTTTCGTTCAAATGAAATTTGTTGATGTGCGGTTGCGTCCTTCCGTGTGGTGATTCCTACTGGCTTCGATGACTTGTCTACAGATGGTTGCCGGTAACGGCTCCATGGCTAGACAAAAACAAAATGTACATATTTCTAAATAACAAACACTGAATGGAGACACCACTTACATAAAGAAATATTGTCAAGAAAAAGAGAAATATATATATATATATATCATTGTGATGAACTATAGATTAAATGAATATTTGAAAACGAGGTCTATTTTATACAACATTACTAATAATATAATTATGATGGGAAATATTTACTAGTTACTAAATTGGGTTACCTATTTTTCATGCACTTTATTTCATTTTATTATACTTTCTTCTATTGTGATGTTATACACATTATTTCATGACTCAAAAGATAAAAAATTCTCTGGAACAAATTATAGCTAGTCCCAACTTTTTTTTACACCGAAATGAAAAACTGTACTAACAGCGTCCATAATGCAACAAGTTAGCAACTGTAAAAAACAACCAACTGATTTGAAATTTCCTTTTTTCCTTTTTAAAAAAATGATTTTTCAAAAATAATTTGAATATGCACCAATTATCTATGTGCATATATGTATATAAAGTAATTTTTCTTAACATATTCATTGTCCAGAAATACACAATGGCTGCTAAAAACAAACTGAGTAAGGCTTAGCAGGTCTTGAAAGACGCCAATCCCGTTGTACAGCTTCTAGCCGTGATCGTTCTTCGCCAGAAAGCCAATTTGAGGTACCACTTAAATTGCAAGTTGTAAAGCTTCCAAATTAAAAACTAACTTTCGAAGAAAATTTAATTCAACAAATTCCAGCTACCAATATAATATTATAAATGTGGGTTTAAATATCATCGACGATACCAGCAATGAACACTTTCCAGCAGGACCTATTTTCTTTTAAAGAAATTTAACTCAACTTTCAACATAAAACTTGGATAATTGATATATTTAACCATATCATATCGAAGGTGATTAGCCTTCGATTTAATAGAAATTAGACAAACTTTTATTCTAAAGTTATCTTGGTAATTTTAAGTCCGAATTTCCTTTACAGTATTTTTATAACTTGGAAACAAAAAAATAACAAAAGTAATGACGAAGGTATCTTCTCGATTTGCTCGGAAATATATGGATGTACTAAACTTTTCCGAGATGAAAAAAAGAAAAAAAACCTATCTAGCTAATGAACAATGCTATACACTCTCTGATGACAGGAACAACGAAAATTACAGGGAAAGCTTTTAGAAAACAAACAACAGTGGTTAAAAAACAGCTAAAATTTTAAAAATCGAATTCTTCTAGACAAAATATAAATGACCCACACAAACGAACAATGATTTTTCAAATTTGAAAGTGTAAAAATAAAGCAAGAAAAAATGAAACTGAGTTCATTTCTTAGCAGTAAGTAAGAAAATGAATGCTCAAATTTTTGCTAGCAATAAAACTGTATGATTGGATAAAAGTTCGAACTCAGACAGTTCACCTTAATTTCCACATAATAACAGGAAGTGACAATTATAGACTTATACTCATTAAATTAAACCATCAATAACTACCACGATCAGCGCTGTCGTATGGATGTGCCCGCCAATAACAGACACACGCACAAAAATATGGAAATCCAAAAAGATGATGATAAATAAACATTACATCTGATTATTCATACAAATGAAAACACTTACCAATTTCGGGAAAAGCAATATTTTTCCCCTGAATTTTATCTTCATATGATTTTCTGAATGCGATTTTCGAGTGTAATCTACATTATTCAAACAGATATTAACCCATCAAAATGTAATGGTGTTATCAGATGGTTTGATGCAATAAATAGGAAATAAATCACAGTAATACGAAAACGGTAGAAAGTTATCATTATTATTTCCTATTATAGAACACTGTTAGGGATTTCCGTAGAATATTTCTCATTACTGGGATATATGATTTAATGTCGTTTAATATCACATATGTTCTATTATAATGTATATATCTTATTAGTAATATATCATCACTTCTACAGATACAATTTTTGGATAATGAAAAATACGGAAACAAATATCAAAAATTGAATTTACTTCTAAAATCGGTTTGGTTAGTTTCCTTTCCACTTGCCAATAAATACATAAGTAGCAATATATAACAGTTCATCGATCACAAAACAAAATTATTCCTCGCTCTACCTAACACAAATATTCGATGGTGTGTTGCAGAATCTACAAGACCATCCAGCATATACAATTCTTATCACTAAGACAAGACAAGAAAAATTGCAGGTAACTGCTTATTATTAGAATTTACAAAAAAAACATGTATCACTAGCAACATTTGAAAATTTTGGAAAGAATTCATAGATTTTACTTTTTTTTTTTAAAAAAAAAAAAAAGGTAATTCCCTACATAAACCCATTTGCCGCTTAAATAACCAACTATGTCAAACTATTTAAAGATTGTATCATCTTTAAATATTAAATTATTTAAAGACCAAAACTTAGCTAATCATAAGACGAAAGACAATACACACAGATCACAACAACTAGACAAACATTAACATAAAACACGAAGATACAAATAAATGGAAGCAATCAGATGCTTGAAGAATGAAATATTCCGATAATTCCGATAACCTAAATAAATTTTAACTGACGTTACTTATGTTAATGAATAGTAATTTGCCCATGACGGATAGCCAAATGGCTTTCTCGATAAAATATCTAAGACACATGCGCACACATAATATTTCATCAGTTCTATTTACAATCTTTGGTTTTGTTTTTCCCAATGTATATTTTCAAAATACGAGTACTTGATAAGCTAGCGATTCATCGGTTTTTTTTTTTTTTTTTTAATTCGGTTTTCTTAAAAAAATGAATCGCTAAAGTTGAGATTGTGCTTCATGAATGAAAAGCGGGATGTTTCAGGATATTACTACAGGACTCCATTCGGAAGTTATCGATTCCACCTAACATAAAAAATAGGTGGAAAACGAATGACTTTAATTATTGCATAAAAGTTTCAGCGGAATAACTGCAAAGATAAATAACCAAGAACTAAACTGTGCAATTTAAAACACTTTTTGTCGCCTATATTTCTATTGCCTGAGTAGAGCGATTTTGGTAATTGCGGACATCAGAGAAGATTGCACTCACAAAATTCTAAATTCTAAAACATGAAAAAAAAAATGATAAAAGTTTTAAGGGCTATTGCTGATAACTTCACGGACTGAAGAGGATCTAAACAGTAATTCATTTTCTAAACAGGATCCTTACGAGCATATAGCGTTATTTAAGTTAGCATAGCAATGGATGCAATTGAGAGCACTGGCGAAAGGGTTAAAATTTACTACTTGCAGCAACAACCTTGTGAAAAAACAGTTATCCTGATTTCAGCAGGAAAAAAAAAAAAACGAGAGATCTTGAACCCATAGTTCTTCACGGCTTTAAAACAGCTCGAACATTTCAAAGAGTAAAGTAAAATGATATCAGCGATGCTGGTTTGTAACTGAAATAACAGACTAATAATACACTACCTGGCGATAAAAGCTGTTAAGCTTAAACTTCAATCTTACTTTAAGAAAGTATGGATAAATACATAAAAAGACAATGTTAGCTCTAGAACAGGTGCTTTATAGGCTTAATCTAAATGAGCCTTGACATCAGGTCCTTTCAATAGTAAATAGTAAAGATATGGATTCTATAAATGATATTTGGAAAGTGTAAGGGAAGATGACTAAGAAGCAATATTAACTAACCATATAAAAATATCTTCTTTTTATGTCTCTAAACCATGAATATTGGGTCCCGTGGAATGTTTAACAAAAAAGAATGAAACAACGCAGCATTACTGTGAGAAAATAAATATCACGATACCCAGCGGGTTTGAATTCTTGATCAAGTTGAATTAAAAACTATTAAATTAATTGGAAGTGGTTGTTGCTGTCATCATGATCAAAAAAAAAAAAAAAGACAAATTACTCGTGTTCATCATAAAGCCGATATTAAGCTTGGAAGTGTTGCTTCTTATCGGTGTTATAAATACTGCCCGACTGCATAGACTATTTTGTTACTTCTAGTTCATCTATCACTTTGCTTTGTTGATAACAGATACCGCCCTATGTTGCATTCTAGAAAACCATGAGCTTCCGAAAACTGCATCTAGTTTAGAAGTATTCTAGATTCACTTCCATGTGTTCATTTAAACTTAAACAGCTCTTCATCATTTGTTCGAGGTAAAATATGAAACAACAATCCTTAAAAGATTAATAAGAATAGGCAAAATCTCCAGAACAATCATACGCTCACCAGCTTTCACCATAAACCGGATTTTCAATTCATTCAGTTCGTCAAACTGATATTTTAAATGAATTATGCTCTAAATAGAAATGCGATGTAGTCCAACAATTTAAATTTCATGCAACCACGAAACAACCAAAAAATGTGCACTTTCCAAAAGATCAACGAGACTTAACTAATTTTTGCACCTTCTCAACAAATTTGATCAGTAATACACTGTCATTGAAAGTTCGAGGCGTGGTATCGCTTCTTCGCCTTCAAAAGCAAGTCAGAAGCATAACTGGCAAAATTTGTATATATCCATAAATATAAAGCGCACACACAAAAAGGAAAAAAAAAAAAATGAATTAGGATTAGCAAGCACGCAATTGTTAGTAAAAAAAAAAAAACTGTGTAGAGGAATAACTGGATAAAATTATTGGACATGTCATTGAAAAGACACGATGGTCAATTTTTCTATTTCATTCATAGAAAGAACAAATATCAGATTCTGATAAACGTACGTTCTCCCGTTTTGATTTTCTCAGAGGTTGTGAATTATGAATTTTTAAGAAGAATCTCAATCAAAAATATAATGAGTGAAAAAAAAACACATTATTAATCATGTCTTCGAGCAAAGACAGCAAAAAATTGCTGGAATTTTGGCTGAATAGGGCAAGAATGCAATTCGGACCGGGTAAGCCAGCCACACTTAAAATAACAAAGAAAAAATGGACCATTAACAATCTAATGTTAAAGCATATTTAAAGATGTGTATTGCTATTGTTACATCCTTTCATCTTCCAGACATCTATGTAATAATGATTAATGACTAATAAAGGAGAAATTCTGATGATAAAATTTGCACAATATGCAAATTTTAAGAAATGTTTCAATGTATGTTCACGACTATTATCAACAAATGAGTTCTGATCAGCATGTAAGATAGTCCAATCATAGTTGAGCAGTTTTTGGGGGTAATTTTAGGGAAACAATGATCGAAAAGTCAAGGATTCAAAACAAAACATTCATTTCAATAATTATTTGTGGCGAAGTAATGCTAGAAAATTAGCACTGAAGAACACTGAACTCTTAATTCTTTATAAATGTGATGCTGACATTTCCAGAATTCTTAGAAAAGCAAAAAATGAAAATCATCCAAATGATAATTCGGATCTGCTTGGCTGTAACAAAAAATTGTCCCCATTTATGACTTTTTTCCTTTCTGACGCAGTAAAAAAGATTTAACCAATGGAAATATTTTAAAATCCCTTTGTTAATTCTAAGGCATATATTATGTTGCAAAAAAAAAAAAAAAAAAGTTTGATACCTATAGTGTACAAATTTAAAGTTGCTTTGCCCAACGTTAATCGTATTTCTTGAAATTTGTTCAGAAGTGGGATGTTTGATTATTAAAAGAACAGAAATGGACATTCAAAGACTGATTGGTTAGTATTTTCTTCTATTACTTATTCCTAGCAATAACTGCAACTTCCACTTCGCTGTTCAAATTATTTTCGTTTAACTATGTGGATGGTATTAGTACAGATCTTTAGCCCTTCCAGTATTCACAGTTTGATCAAGCATGATCAACCGAACCTTCTGGCCTTTTAATTACAACGATAGGTTAAACGCACTTACATAGATTAGCAGTAGCATTTCCATTTAATTGTGAAAAAGCTACTGTTACCGTTCTTGGCTCAATTTTCGAGCATCTATATTCACGGTAAGTTAGGAATAAAATTACCGAAGTAGTGGACTATATTTACATCATATATGGTAAAAACGAGTGTTTTATCCTGGAAATTAAAACGAAAAAGATATTAGGAAGATTTCTTTAAAAGTTTGCATTATTACAACACTATTTTCAAAATGACTGTGATATCACTTCGGATGTGGATTACGCATACTGATGAGAAACCATAAAGCATTCAGGGTAAGACGGTTTTGAGTTATCCGAAATAGCAATCATGGAAACCGTAAAATACTCAATAATTATTTTTACCTGTTTACGAAAACTCCAGCCGGAAAATGTTCACTGTTAGTATTAAATACAAGTAGTTAAATATAAACTAATAAACTAGCATATTCAGCAGCTAACCTGGCTACTGGTTCTTGAGTATGTGAATCCTCATTGATTCGACGCATAACACGCTTGCGATAGCCGGCTTGCGTCGCATTAGTTTTACGACATTCTGCTGATACTTCCTTGTCCTCCATTGTTGGAAGTGGT